TTTTTTTTTTTCATTTGATTTAGAATTTGCATAACAGTCCATAGCTAGTGAATTAATTAATTAATATGTGTCTTGTGGTTAATTATCTGAAAGTTCCTCCATATGTGGGAGTCCAGAAATCAACAGTTGTTTCATGAGTCATCGGGAAAGTGCTCGACACCGGCACCAAACACAGCCCTCGGCTTCGCAGATCTTGTCGTGCCCCTTCTGCCTCCTTCGATTTATCCTCAATACTCTGTTAAACCGACAATTTTCTGATCATTCAAACACATTTTTCAAATAGTATAGCGTCAAAATTAATATTGATGAATAATTGGTTTGTGTTAACTATGTAGAGGGTCTCTCTATGCCTTTGAATGGGTTTGGAAATTAATTAGAGTTTAAATTTAGCTTCCATTTAGAGCCAAAGAAAAAAAAAAATCTTGTTTAATTTTATAATAATGTTTGGCTAATCATATAGTTTGTATTATGAGGGAAATAAAAAACTTTTATTTTGAAAAGTTATCTCGTATACCATGTCATCATGAAATTTATCTCACCTACTTCAGTTAATTTTTCAGCAACATTTATAAAGCTAGTTCGTATATGATGATATAAATAATCATCATTTGTAATAATTACCTTTAAAATTAGTGTTTAACTAGTTATATTTTGTGAATTTGCACGAAAAGTGATATAAGAAAAATTAATAAAAATATAGAATAAAATAAAAATCATAACTTTTTTTTGGGTACAAATAAAAATCATAACTTAATAGATGAGATGAAAAATAGATTGAAAAAATAAATTTAAATATTATTTAAACATTTTTTTGATATACAAAATTCGTGGTTTTCCTCTCTTCAGGATCTCCATTACTACAAATCATTGTCGTTAAACTTCTTCGATTCGTGACTCTGAGATTTGATTTTTCAAAATATTTGATACATTTTTGTAATATACAAAAAAGAATTTTTTATTATTGTATGACTGCAATTAAAAATGGAGGTATTTGTAGTCATTTTTAATTAGTTGTGAAATATGTATTTATATATATATATATAATACCGAAAAATTAATATAGTATCAAAATAAAAAAAACAAAAAGGTTTTAGATTTCAGGACATAAAAAAGGCGTTACAGAATTAGACACATTCCAAAATGGGACATGTCAAAATAAATTGTGTAACTGAAAATTATATATTTTTATTAAATGGTGAATACATTTTTATTAAATGAACACCCAATTTTATTAATTGATGCGGAAATAAAATTTATTAAAGTTAGCCATCAATTATATATATACAGATTCCATGACGATAATTGTACTAGTTCAAAGTTAGCAATAGGTAGGGAAAAAAAAAAAA